CAGGGAGACTCCACGCAGAGACTACATTTCCCAGGAAGGTTGCCCACAGCGCTGCAGCTCTGGGGTTTTTAAAGGGCCTCTCACTAAATTCAGGGCGGGTCAGTGTAGAGGGTGGGGTGGGTAGAAGCCAGCACCAGACAGCCACCTGCAAGGAGACTGTGTGGGTCAGGGAGGAGTCACCCTGCCTCTTGGTCCTCAAGTGTCCCGGGTGTGAGGCTAGGCAATGCCAGCCTGGGGGCAGCCTCTTTCATCTTGACACCCTCGGCATCTCCCAGAAAATCCCCTTTCTTCCCTTAACTCCCCCAAACGGTGGGGAGGCGGAGTTGTTAATCTTGTGTCTCAGCGGGAGGTGCCCCCACCCAGTGCCAATGTTCTGGGATTGTGGGGGCAGGTAAAGATGTTAGAGTTGCAAGACTAAATAAAGATCTGGGGTCTGTGGGAGCTAGCCAAACCTCACAATACAATGCCTGTCACCCCTCCTTCCAAGCCCGGAGGCCTCTGGGTAAATGTGGGTATGGGTCACCCTCCCAGGAGGGATCAAGGAACTGGGAGCACCTTATAAGCCGTAATGGGCTATGAGAATAAAAAACTTCAATGCCGTGTCACCCGATTCTTTCGACTTGAATTCTAGGGCATGCATAGTGAGGGAGTGGGGTGGGGAGGGCGGCACAGTATCTCAGAAGTAGGTGCATTTGGGTACCTTCAGAAAGATCTTAGTGGAAACGTAAAGAACTGGATTTCAAAATAACCCAAACAAACCTATCAAAATATGTTTTCAAATTAGGAAACTTCGGGGTCACTGACATCATCAGAATTAAAAACCTTGACCTTTTGAACTAACCTGACCTTTGACAGCAGTCGTTTCACCTAGAAAGCTGTGGTGAAGACACCCGTCTTGGTTCCTCCCCTCCCCTCCTCCAATCATTTGGATTGAGCTATGGTGGGGAGGCTCACCAACTTGCCCTAGTGTCAGGGACTCCCAAGCCCAGGAGCGCTCTCCCCAACACCCCGCCCCCAAGCCCCCAAGTTCAAAGCCCCACCATCTAAGCCCCAGGTCTTAGCAGAGGTTCCTTCATCAGCTACAATCAATCACCCAGTCCCAGGTTACTATATAATTGAACAGCTACCGCCTTTTTGCTAATAAAACCACCGAGGTCCAGGGAACGAGCCCAGATAGGCAAGACCACTAGAACCCTACTCTAGAGCCGTTGCCAAGAGGATCTGGCATTTTGAGAGAGAGGTAGCCTGCAGACAAGAGATCCTGGGCTCTCTGGGAGTCTCTTCCGCAGATCTCTGAGCCTCTAAAGTCCCTCAAAGCCTAGGACTCCCAATAGCCCAGGATGCACTACAGACGCTGGCTCCCCATGCTCACTTCATGGATTTATGCCAAGCAGGACGGGAAAGATGGACACATTTTATAACAAAGGCATGGAATCTTCCTAGCAAAATGGCGGTGGTCCCGACCACGGCTCCCTGGTCGACTGCATACCTCCTGAACATGTCATGGCCAGAGAAACGAGGACTCCCTCCTCCCCCCATTTTTCCAAATCTCTAAAGTACCCGAGCGTCTGCTCATCCCAGGGCCCCCCAGAAGAGTCTCTGGTTAGCACCTAAGGAATAGCGCTAATGGTGTGGACTGCACCCTATCAGGCACACCTTACTTTCAAGAGGCCAGTGGGAGAGGGGAGCTTCACCCCCACGGTGGGCCTCGTGGTTCTATTTTTGCACACCCCAAAACTCCCAAGCTAGGAAGGCATGTAAATGAACTCTTAGGTTTGGATATGGAAGATGTGGGGGTTTCTTTGAGGAGAGCAGGCCTCCCCAGAGGCCAGTCCCCATTTCCCAGGGGTCCCAGGAAGCTTCGGGGGCTCGGGCTCAGACAGGAATCTTCACGCTGAGATCTGGGGGCGCGTCTAGGAGAGAGGCGACTCAAGAGGGGGAAGGGACAAAGTTTGAAAGTGCCCATCCAACTCTTCCAGGCAAAGTTTCCCTGAGGGCCCCGGGGACAGAGAGCGGTTAGGGGTGCTGGGGGGGCCTGTGGCCGGGTGACCCCCAAGAGGAGACCAGACCCCGGGGAGACGACCCCTCCCCCTTGTCCCGACTCGGCCCGGCTGGGAGTCGCCCAGCTCGGGGCCGCGTGTGTTAGTTGGGGCCACTTCTGCGCCGCTCCTCTAGGTTGGGGGACCCCGCAGCCGGCCGGGAGTGGGAGCCCTGGTAGTCCCAGGGGGGAGCTCTCCTACGGGGGGTCTCAAACCCCGGGGCTCCCGGGTCCCGCAGAGCCAGCCCCCCGCAAAGGGGAAATGTGCCGGCGCCCCAACGCTCCTCGGCGCAGTTTGGGGCTCGTGGCGGGCGCGGGGGACGGCGGCCGGCGAGCCGGGGTCCCCAGCAGGGAAGCCTAGGGAGCCGGCCAGGGACCCCGAGAGACAGCGGGCAGCGGGAAGGCCGGGACCGCCAGGAAAGGTCGGGTTTGCTCAGCGGAAGAAACACAGATGGCGGCGGCGCGGCGCCATTCCGGGCCGGGAGCAGGCAGCCAGCAACCCAGTCCTCACCGCGGTCCGCCCGCCGCCGCTAAATACCCGGATGCGCCGCCCGAGCGCCAGACGCCGAGCTGGGAAAAGGGAGGCCGAGGAGGCGGAGGCAGAGGCAGCGCCAGGCGCCGGACGAGCGACTGAGCGGTGGGGGCTGGGCCGCGCAGTGCAGCCCGCGAGCTCGCCTGCGACCCGCGCCGCGCCGGGGAGGACAGGAGCCGCGCGTCCCCGGCAGCCGCACTTCGGGGTGGCCTGCTAGTCGAGCGGGAGTGCAGATCCCGAGGCGGGTTGTGCCCAGCCTCCGGCGAGGGCTGACCCTTCGGAAGGCTCCTTCAGCAGCGGGAGCAGGCCGGCCACCATGACCGAGAACTCCACGTCCACCCCTGCGGCGAAGCCCAAGCGGGCCAAGGCCTCCAAGAAGTCCACGGACCACCCCAAGTATTCAGACATGATCGTGGCTGCCATCCAGGCAGAAAAGAACCGCGCCGGCTCCTCGCGCCAGTCCATCCAAAAGTATATCAAGAGCCACTACAAGGTGGGTGAGAACGCCGACTCCCAGATCAAGTTGTCCATCAGGCGTCTGGTGACCACCGGTGTTCTCAAGCAAACCAAAGGGGTGGGTGCCTCGGGGTCCTTCAGGCTGGCCAAGGGCGATGAGCCTAAGAGGTCGGTGGCTTTCAAGAAGACCAAGAAGGAAGTCAAGAAAGTGGCCACTCCAAAGAAGGCAGCCAAGCCCAAGAAGGCTGCCTCCAAAGCCCCGAGCAAGAAACCCAAAGCCACCCCAGCCAAGAAAGCCAAGAAGAAGCCGGCTGCCACGCCCAAGAAAGCCAAAAAGCCCAAGGTTGTCAAAGCCAAGCCAGTCAAGACATCCAAACCCAAGAAGGCCAAACCTGTGAAGCCCAAAGCCAAGTCCAGTGCCAAGAGGGCCAGCAAGAAGAAATGACGATGAAGGCTTTGCTTGTGGACACCCCTTCCTCTTTCTGTAAATACATTTCTCTTGATCTCGTCTGCAACCCTTTGCCCATTCCATTCTGACTCTTTACAAAAAAGGACAGAGTTCGGATTCCTCAGACAGACATTGTGGAATGGTTCCCTGTTCCTTAACCCATTGTGCAAGGATAGCCACAGACCTCATCTTTGTAATGATGAAGATGTACTTTTTTTCCCTTGACTTGATATTAGCCTTCTTACGGGGTTAGGGATGGGGGGTTGTTGGGTGGTTTGTTTACTGTGAAGGAAAATGGAACTGGCAAAGTTCTGGCTAGATGAGGGGACCCAGGAACAAAAGTTTGTCTTTTCAAGGCTTTCTTAAGTTGCTCATTCATCCCTCGTGAGAGCTTCAAAACCTCTGGTGGGGAGCAGAGGGTGATACCCCACCTAACTGGCCAGAGAGGGACGGAAGAAAAACTCCAGTGGTGAGCAGTTGGGGACCTTGTCACTTATGCCCTAGTGCCTCACCATTGTCTAGGAGGGGAAAGGGCTCCAATTGACAGCTGGCCAGAGAAACCATAGCTTCTCACTATCAGGATCTAGCCATTGGGGAAGGGGGGCTCTTTTCAACGGTCTCTTGTTAAATGGGAGTGGACTTGGGAGGGGTGGGAAGTCAGCCAAGTGCCTCAGTGTGCCTATGGAAACTTGGGTTTTTTCCACACGGTTGGTGGGCTGTGTCTTTTTGTTGTTCCTTCCTGTATAAGATGTGGCTTTGCTTGGTGCCGCTTCAGTTCTACCAGCTGCCACTTAAAACCCCTCCAACCTCTTGTACTTTTTGAGTCTTTTCTAAGTAGCCGAGGAGGGCGAGAAGCAGGGCGAGGGCTGTTAAGAAATAAAATAGTTGATTTGAGTTTGCTAGGTAGCTTTAGAGAGCCAGGCTTGTGTGCATGTGTGTATATGTATATATCCGTATCTAAGACTAGTACTTAGTCTCACTTCGGGAGCTGGGAGAAAAAACCTGTACAGTTGTCTCTCTTATTTTAATAAAATAGGAAACTCGTGCACTCGCGCCCCCTCCCCCTTTTTAAATAAGTGTTATCAGTGCCGGGAAAGATTTGCTGTGGTTGTAATTTTAAACTTTAAAATAATAAAACTGGAAAAGGAAAAAATATCTGGTGCGTTTTTCCTCAACCGGAGGAGAGTGAGGAGCGATCGGATGGGCAATGTGGGGAAACCTGGTGCCACATTAGCGCCGGAAAAAAGCGAAGCTTTGGAAAGAGACGGGAATACTCAGACGCAAGGGCAGGATGCTGGCCGGCTCGACACAGTGGCTGGTCTTCGGGAGAGGTGGAAGTGTGGGCAGGATCTGGGGCGGGGAGGCCCTGAAGTAGCTTCCCCAGCGCGGACCTCCCGGACCTCCCAGGTCTCGACTTACAAATCAATCCACTGTTGTCGCCTGCCGACGGTATCAGGCCCCGCCTGTGGGCGGGACCTCCACCAACCTCAGAAAGTAAGCTCCCGTTACTCTGATTGGTTGTCGGGGCCCTGCCCACGCCACGTGACAGGGAGAGCTAGGCAGTCGGCTGGCAGGCACATTTCATCCCGTGGGCGCGATGTGGGTCAGCAGCATATGGCGCACGACGTTGTCACCCGGTCGCCGCGCGCAATCAGCGCTGGCGCAGCTGCGCGGTATCCTGAAGGGCGAGCTAGAAGAGATCCGCGGGGCTGGCACCTGGAAGAGTGAGCGAGTGATTACGTCCCCCCAGGGACCGAGCATTCGTGTGGACGGTACCTCCGGAGGTAATGTCCCCTCCTGGGAGTCATCATGTCTGGCCAGAGGCCTTGCAGGGCTTGCATGTGAACGGAGGCCCTCGGGTGGGTGTGGGGGATGCACGTGCATGCGTAGCTGCTGGTCTCCTTCTAGTCTGTCTCAGGCACACTATGGCTTCCTAGTGTTAACTCCACATGTTTAAACCTGTTCGACGGAGGGAAGTGATTTACCCGTCAGCACCTTTTGGGCGCCTAAGGCTGTGCTGCCAAGAGACCCAACCCTGTGAGAAAAAGAGAGCGGTATCCAGCTGCACTGGCTTCCTACACCCTGCTTCCAGGAAGAGTGGACGAAAACCCTCATTCTTTCATTGATCCAAGTTGTAAAGGTTACCAGTTGCTATACCTTTATTCCTGATGACATCTGCATGAGAGACCAATTCTCCCCGCTCCCCTTTTCGAGATAGGGTTTCTCTGTGGAGTCCTGGCTGTGCTGGAACTCACTCTGTAGACCAGGCTGGCCTCGAACTCACAGAGATCTGACTGTCTCTGCCTCCTGAGTGCTGGGATTAAAGACAGGGACACCACCTTTGGGCTAGAGAGACCAATTGTCATTGAAAGAAATCATGCCTTTGATCCCAGCACTCGGGAGGCAGAGGCTGGTGGATCTCTGTGAGTTCAAGGCCAGCCTGGTCTACAGAGCTAGTGCTCCTGGACATCCAAGGCGACACAGAGAAACCCTGTCTCAAAAACCAAAAAAAAAAAAAAAAAAAGAAAGAAAGAAAGAAAGGAAGAAGAAGCAGCTGAAACATAGCTAGGTTTCCCCAGACCCTCCATTGGCCAGCTCAAGTGTCACAGGATATTGGGGTGGAAGACCCTCGTCCACCAGAGAGGCTAAAGTTTAAGCAAGCTAGGAGATCGTGTCTTCTGCCTGTCTTCTCCAAAAGGCTATAGAAAGAACTTCCCATCCCCTAACAGAACCTTCAGCCTTCACGTGATTTCAGAGAGATAAGCAACAGGCTGAGTGCTTGCTCAGCTCAACTAAGGCTGTGAGTTCACAGCCTAGTACTCACCACACTCAAAAGCTGGGGCATTTAGAGAACCAAGTTCTTAGATTCTTTGTCTGGGTCCCAGGTCGTGAGCTGTCCCTTCCTCAGGCCTCAATTTCCTTGGGCCAACTATATGAACTTTTTAAGGTTGATAGCCGAGGCCTCTGAGATACCCCTCTGGAAATGCAACTCTGTGGGCAACGGGTGGCTGAGCACTGGAGTTTGAGGCCCTCGGCCTCTTTCACAATTAAGAAAAGAAAAACCAAAATGGTGATGGTTTTGGCTTCAGAACCTGTGAGGAAGGTCTGGGATCCTCTCAGATGGGACGTTATTCATAGCGAGGTTTTCAACTTCTCATCCTTCAAGGTGGAGAGTTACAAACCTCTCCTGACCCTCCTGCCTTGTGACAGTAGATTCGAAGCCTCTGACCTCTCCCCAGAATGGGTCATCTGTGCAGCTGTTGCCTCTCAAGGGCAAATCTAAGCTGACTTCTCTAGCCCCTGTCCCAGGACCTGACAGCATGGTCCTTACAGGCCCTTCCTCGCTCTTCTGAGTCCTATTGTTGGTCTTCTCCACCCCAGGAATCCTCAACTTCTGTGCCAATAACTACTTGGGCCTGAGCAGCCACCCCGAGGTGATCCAGGCAGGTGTGCAGGCTCTGGGAGAGTTTGGAGCTGGTCTCAGTTCTACTCGCTTCATCTGTGGGACCCAGGTACGCAGCAGGTGCTGGGTAGCACAGAGATCCGCCTGCCTCTGCCTCCCGAGTGCTGGGATTAAAGGCGTGCACCACCACTGCCTGACTCATGCTCAGTTTTAATGCATTTATTTTCTTTTTTTTTTTTTTTTGGGTGGCTCTAAGAAGAGCCTTTAAAAGTAGTTATGTAGAAAAGGGATTTATGCTCTCTCCCCGCGGATACGGCGGGCCAGCTGGATGTCCTTGGGCATGATGGTGACGCGCTTGGCGTGGATGGCGCACAGGTTGGTGTCCTCAAACAGACCCACCAGGTAGGCCTCGCAGGCCTCCTGCAGAGCCATGACGGCCGAGCTCTGGAAGCGCAGGTCGGTCTTGAAGTCCTGCGCGATCTCGCGCACCAGACGCTGGAACGGCAGCTTTCGGATCAGCAGCTCGGTCGACTTCTGGTAGCGCCGGATCTCGCGCAGCGCCACGGTGCCGGGCCGGTAGCGGTGCGGCTTCTTCACGCCGCCGGTGGCCGGGGCGCTCTTGCGGGCGGCCTTGGTGGCCAGCTGCTTGCGCGGGGCCTTGCCGCCGGTGGACTTGCGAGCTGTCTGCTTTGTGCGAGCCATTGCAATAAAGACAAGAAATGAGCTACCTAAACGGTACAAGGGTTGCCTTCATATAGGGTTATGTTTGCATACGCGCAAACGCACGCAACCACTTGTGTTTCCTACCCTCCCCTCAGAGAAACAATCTGATAGGATTGCATACTTTTCAAAAGTCCCGCGCAATATTACTATTGGCGGAGGACATCCAACGGTGATTGGCTATTTCTTGCACACTTATTAAAATGATAAAAAAATGTTTTAACCGCCTAAAGCCATTTAACATGCCCGATCATTAAATTTTGCTGCACGCTTGTCTTGTATTTAACCGCTTGTCTGCATTTATTTTCTAATAAAACTCATGAGTCTTACCAAACAGCTCCCAAATCTAAGAAGTTGAGCCCCAAATAAGCATAGGCTTGCCTAATGTGACCCACTTCTTTGCTGCGGAGAAAAAGACAGTCTAATGTGAAGACATATCTTCTGTCCCTAGCATCACTCAGAATCCACAAACACTAGACAGATCCCCAATACAAACAAAGGTCCGCTCAGGAATCGAGACCTGCCAGGCCTTATCCTCTATGGCGGGAGCAGTGCTCGCTTCGGCAGCACATATACTCTATGGCGGGAGCAGCTGCTCCAGTCCAAGCTCCAGAAGAAACCTGTGCAGTGCCAAAGCAAGAATGTGGCTGAGGCTACAGGCCTTCTGCCTGGGTCTAAAGCCTCTGTCCTTTAGGACTTGTCCCTTAAAGCCCACAGGTACTAACCATCACCTGCCTGTATCCTTTAGAGCATCCACAAGAAGCTAGAAGCCAAGCTAGCCCTTTTCCATCGGCGTGAGGATGCCATCCTCTATCCCAGCTGTTTTGATGCCAATGCTGGCCTGTTTGAGGTGCGTAGAGGCTGTGGATGACTAGGTGGGCAGGTGGGATGGTGTGACAGAGTGACTGCCGCAGAGCAACCTATGTACCCTGGAAGGCGGGGGAGGGGGCCTGATGCCAACCTGACGTTTTCAACGGGCCCTAGGGACCCAGGTAGAAGTAGAGTTTCTCCTTGGGGAAGTTACAAGGGAAGGGGAACCTGGGTGGCCATATAGGAACTTCTCCCCATAGGCTCTGCTGACCCCCGAGGATGCAGTCCTGTCAGATGAGCTGAACCATGCTTCCATCATTGATGGCATCCGGCTGTGCAAGGCCCACAAGTACCGCTACCACCACCTGGACATGGCTGACCTGGAAGCTAAGCTGAAGGAGGCTCAGGTGCAGTGAAGCCCTGGGGCTCCAGAGAAAGGTCTATATTCCCCTGCTCAAGGAGACTCAACTTGGAGGGGACCCCTCTTCACAGCCTGAAGGGCTGAGGGAGCCGTTTGAACTTCCTCACCCCTCGGGCCCAAGACTGTGTTCTGTAGCTCCACATGGCCTGAGATCGGGAAGCACTTTTGAGCAGCAGGTGTGTGGATGTGTGACTAGGACCTGTCCCACGCCAGCTTGTCCTTTTGAGGTTTGAGTCAGGACTGGGAGGCCCAAGCCCTTTCTCAGTGCCAGAGCTAAGGAGACTGAGGTTGGAGATGGACGAGGTTCAGGATATAGCCCCAAGGCAGTAGAAGAGCAGGTGGTCTGGTCCTGCTACGTCTCACCTGCTTTTGTCTGCCCTACAGAAGCACCGGCTGCGCCTGGTGGCCACAGATGGAGCCTTCTCCATGGATGGTGACATCGCTCCTCTACGGGAGATCTGCCGCCTCGCTGCTCAATATGGTGCCCTGGTCTTTGTGGATGAATGCCATGCCACTGGCTTTCTCGGGCCCACCGGACGGTGGGGACATTTGAGGCCTGGGTGGGAGCTTCTGTCGGTGGATGGGAGGTCAGGAGGCCAGTGGCAACAGTGGCTGCTTCCTTTGCAGGGGCACAGATGAGCTGCTAGGTGTGATGGACCAGGTCACCATCATCAACTCCACTCTGGGGAAGGCTCTAGGGGGAGCATCAGGTGCCTATAGATCCTGTCTGTGGGGTCTCCTTCCCTACATGCAGGGCCTGCCTTATATGGGGTGGAGGAGGGGGAGGGCAACTGGAGGGGAGGGCAGTTCCTGGCGCCTGACTGGCTCCTCTCCACATTATTTTCTGTCTTCAGGGGGCTATACCACAGGGCCTGAGCCTCTGATATCCCTGCTACGTCAGCGTTCTCGGCCCTACCTCTTCTCCAACAGCCCGCCCCCTGCTGTTGTTGGCTGTGCTTCTAAGGCCCTGGACCTGCTCATGGAGAACAGTGCCATTGTCCAGTCTATGGCTGCTAAGACCCGGCGGTATGATGCCCACAGGGGAGAGATGGTAGTCACACACCTTTCTACCTCCTCTTGCCCACCTTCCTCTTTTCCTTCCTACCTGCCTCTGTCACAGCATCCTCCTTGGACCCCCCTGTACCCTTCTTTTCACCCTACCTTCCCACCTCCCTTTATCCTGCCTGCCTCTGTCTGCCCTCGCCTGTGCCTCCTCTGCTCTTTGGGTCTGTACTTCTCTCTTTATTTCTTCCTCTCATAGGTGGTCTAGATCCTGGGCCTCTTCTTCTGGCTCCATGGCCTTCAGCTACCTGTGACACTCAGCTGTGTCCCCAGGTTCCGCACTAAGATGGAAGCTGCTGGCTTCACTATCTCAGGAGTTGATCATCCCATCTGTCCTGTGATGCTGGGTGATGCTCGGTTGTCTTCTCAAATGGCAGACGACATGTTAAAGAAAGGTAAGGAGAGGGCTGGGCAGTGGTGGCGCACACCTTTAATCCCAGCACGTAGGAAGCAGAGGCGGGCAGATCTATGTGAGTTTGAGGCCAGTGTGGTGTACAGAGCGAGTTCCAGGACAGGCACTATACCTACACAGAGAAACTCTGTCTCAAAAAAACCAAGGGCTAGAGAGATGGCTCAGTGGTTAAGAGCACTGACTGCTCTTCCAAAGGTCCTGAGTTCAATTCCCAGCAACCACATGGTGGCTCATAACCATCTGTAGTGAGATCTGTAAATAAATACTGTATAAATAAATAAATCTTTAAAGAAAAAAGTAAGAGAACTGAGGGCAGAGTGTCCTCAGAGACGAGAACACCTATAGACTGCAGAATTTCCCGAGACCCAAGTCTCGCTCCTCACTGCCCACACCACCTCTCTGTCCAACTTAACATCAACCATCTGTCCAAACTTAACAAACCCCAGGCCACAAGGGAGCCCCATGTCTGTGAGCTCGGCAGCTCCCTTAGTCTCTGTGGGTGGACCTGGGGACAGTGAGCCCTTATATGTCACAGCCCCAAAGCCTGTCTGCCACTCTGTGCCTGTACTCTCTTCTCAGGCATCTTTGTCATCGGATTCAGCTACCCTGTGGTCCCCAAGGGCAAGGCTCGGATCCGGGTACAGATCTCCGCAGTACACAGTGAGGAGGACATTGACCGCTGTGTGGAGGCCTTCGTGGAGGTGGGGCGGCTGCATGGAGCTCTGCCTTAAGCACTGGGTAGGGGCCGGCAGAGCCAGAGTCCCTCTGCTGCCGTAGGGACACAGAGATCTTCTGGTCAGTCCAGACTAGAGGCTCTGACCCAATCCAGACATCTAGAGCCTGACTGAAAATGGGCCTGAACTTGTAGTTGGGGAGAGAAAAATGTAAAAATTGGCTATGACACTTTGGTCTGCTTTATTCTTTCCGAGTAGGCCCAGTCCTATGGCTAACTGATGAATCAGGCAGGGACTGGATCTCTGAGGGCAGTCCCCAAACTGAGTTGAATTCCTGTGTCTGGGAGGTATTATTTGGTGCAATTGGATTCTGTACTGCTGTGGAAGGCAGCTGAGAACCACCCTGGGGATGCTTCCTCAATCTAACCATGGTGGCTTGTCTCCTGTGTCCATCCAAAGGACAACAAAACACAACTGCCAGATTAGAAGGGTTCTTGGACCTGTGTTTGGGAGAGGGCAGAGGATTCAGGTCCCAAAGAGAAGGAAGCGGGTAGCTACTGTAGGACATCTAACTTTGTTTTCTAGAGCTCTTTGTCCCTAATTCCGTGGCCTTAGACCAGTCAGCATGGCCCAGTTTTTCCGAGAGCTGCAATTCCATTGGAAGTCACTTTTCTGACTCCGGTTACAAAGCTTTAGTCTGACCGCCAGCCACCAGAGGGCGCCGCGAACTCAGGCTCCAGCCGCTGCCTGCCCCGCCTCCTTGAGCTGGGGGCCTCGGAGCAGGCTGTTGGGCAGCTCTCAGGCAAGGCCACAAGGACTGTTTGCTGTTGCCAAGGCCCTGTCCTTTATCTTCCCCTGCCACTACCACCACCTGCTCCAGTACCGTGGGCGTCCCCTCCTTCCCACGTTCCTGACCTGGCTTTGCTGTGGGCACTGTGGGAGGAGACTGGAGGTGTCTGCTCTCTACCTCAGCCTTACAGGCTTCTGAGAGCACTGCAGGCTCAGTGTGGTGGTGTGGCCTTGGGAAGCACCTTAATTTGCTTGAAGTAGAACTGAGGACAAAAGGCCCTTGCTTTTACTGTACACATTGGAAACAAAGCCTCGTACCTCCAGCTCACCTTTATCAGGACATCTTGGAGCACGGTCAAACCTAACATTGCAGAATCTTTTTTTTTTTTTTTTTTTTTTTGGCTTTTCGAGACAGGGTTTCCCAGTAGCTATGGAGCCAGTCCTGGAACTCTCTGTAGACCAAACTGGCCTCAAACTCACAGAGATCTGCCTGCAAAGTGCTGGGATTAAAGGCGAGCACCACCACTGCCTGGCCCTTGCAGATTCTTAAAGTTGGGATTCTGGGAATCCCCATTTACAACCTGGTAATGTTGGGTCAGGGCATCGCGCAATGATGGGGGACAGACCACCAAAGTCTATTAAACCAGAAGCAAACTTTATTCCAGGAAAAGAAAAAACAATCATCATGGGGCACACAAAGCGTTATCAGCTATAGCTGTGACCGGAGCCAGAGATCGGGCTTCTGCAGCTGTGGCCATGGAGGCTGGTTTGGGACCTTTTCTCTTATAGTAAAACCGAGCACCAGGTGTGGGTCAAAGAGCTTTTACAACCTTAAACAGGCTTAAAGTCACAATACATTTTCAGTTTTACAACTTTTGGTTATAGGAGGCTAGAATGTTAACTTAGGATGTTTGCAAAAGCCTCAGCCACTTTTCCCTATCCCTGCAAGAATGCAAGGCAGAGAGTAGAGTCACATGGGGGACAGTTAAAAATTAAGGGAATACAAGCAGAGGGTCCCATAGAGGCAAAAGTTAGAAGCTTCGTCCCCAGTACCTGCCTAGCTGGGAAACTGGGAGGCAGGTGACAATCATTGAAAGTTTATCCCTGTACACAGTGGCTGCCAGGATGTCAGCTCTTAAGGCAAAAAGTGTTTGTTAAAGGTTAATAGTGGCCGGGTGGTGGTGGTGCCTTTAATCCCAGCACTCGGAGGCAGAGGCAGGCGGATCTTTGTGAGTTCGAAGCCAGCCTGGTCTACAAGAGCTATTTCCAGGACAGGCTCCAAAGCTACAGAGAAACCCTGTCTCAAAAAAAAAAAAAAATTAACAGTGGCTGCCAGCTTTATTATTTTTTCTCTCAAAGTGTGCTTGGGCTTACAACTTGATATTTCTATATTCCTGAACCAGATCCTTTACTTCTATATTTTGTTCCGGGGACCCATTAGTGCTGACTGAGGGTTGCAGCTTGGCAGGAGGCAGCTGCGGCTCCATCAAAGGCAGGAATACCTGCAGACTGCCACTGGCATGCCGGAGGGAATGGAGATGGCCCAGCACCAGCTGGGGAGCCAACTGCAGCGCTGGGCCAGCAGCTTGATGTGTGTTCTGTGCAGGCTGACAGGCCACGCCTGTGGCCAAGGGCAGCCACTAGGCGATGTGTGTGGCATAGCCAGCCAGGGTCAGAACACTAGGCCCAGGTCCACCCACACTCCGAAGTGAGGCTGCAGGAAGTGTGACCCACCAGCCAATGGCCCAGCACCAGAGCCACCTCCGGTAGCACCCAGGCACTACTGCTGGCATCGTTTTCCAGCAGGCAGTTCCTGTAGCAGCCGCAACAACCTCCTGGGCCAGCTGGCCATGGTGTGTCAGTCTGTGCTGTCAACCAGCATGGGGCTCAGCCAGCCCGCTGTCCTGAGTGAGGTTTGGTTCCCTCACCTTGCGGCTACTCTGCCATTCAGAAGAGGTCATCGGAAGTGCCCAGTACACGCAGCAGCCTCTTAGGGCACATGTGTTTCAGAGTGGGCACATAGTGCCACATTCTGTATGGCATTGGCAGGCTAGAGAACCAGCTGCAGGTCGGCTGGAAGCCCTCATTTTGCTGAGTCCAGGGCTCTAGGCCACGCTGTCCTTGTCCTCTGCATCTGGCAAGCAAGATGGAGGCTGGCAGGAGCAAGGGGAGGAGGAGGTAGTGCAAGGACACCCTGGGGCTCCAGCCGTGATGGTCTGTCTTCTCTGCTCCACAGCCAGGCTCTCGGTGACCCCCCTCTGTCCCCTCCTCTCCTTTTCTCTCCTTCCCTCCCCTGCTCTCTATCAGCTCAGCCCTGCTCCTTCTCAGAGCCCTTTATCCAACCTTAGCAGAGAAGGAGGGGGCTGGAGGCCAGGCCAGAGGGCACTTCCGGGTCATGGGATTCATCTGGGTCTTGGAGTCAGGTATGGACACATGGGTCCACATTGCCATCCATATCATTGTCCTCCAAGTGCCCCGTGCAGGGACCCTGAGGTCCTGCTTTCGGACCATCAGCTCCAACGGTTCTGCAACTCAGCGTTGCAGCCTCCAGGGCTGATTCCTAACAGCTCGATTCAGTGAGTTTCTGCATGTGGGGTTCGTGACAGTGAGAGGAATGGACCCACAGGAATGGGCCCCAAAGAATGTCCCCCAGATCTTCCAGTCCTGCTCTGTGGAACACACACACACTCCTCTCAGATGTCCCCTCCACCTCCAGGTTCTAGGGCTCTTCTCCCTTCCTAGCGGGCTATCTTCAGCCCTTGATACAGTTGTCTGAGATCCAATCCCTCCGTTGCCAAGTCTAGTGCCCCTCCCTCCCCAAGTGGTAGCTACTCTACTCCTTGGAAGCATTTGGCCATAGAACACTCCTCCAAAGGCTCAAGCCAGCCATTCACTAACATCTTCTAACCTCTGCTTCCTGTCAGGGCAAGAGACTGTCAAAGGGACTTAAGAGTAGGCATCTCCTCTGTTCTTTAAATCTCGGCTGTATCAAAGTCAGGTTCTACTTCTAGAACCTTCTCTAGCTTCCCCATGGTTTTTCAGGCTAAACCAAGACTTACAGTGGATGAAGACACTGGGGAAGAAATGGATCTCTGGGGATCCACAGAACACGAAACACAGGCTCCTACCTGAAATCCACAGCAAGGACACTGTGGTTCTGGTTTCCCAGCCTTGGAAACTCCCATCTAAAACTAGAAATCCTTTCGAAGCTTAGCTCAGAGTTCAACCTGGAGCCAGGGAAGCTGGGCAATAGGGGGAGGAGTCCCAGGCAGGTCCACAGGAGGTGGGAGGGGCCAGGAATGGGCTGAGCCATGGACATGGAAGGGTTAACCACCAAGCCAGTCTCATAGAGCGAGATCAATGGGTTACTGCCCGTGAGAGAGTGTGAGGTAGCAACAACGCAGACAGGCAGAGAAGAGCCAGGCAGAAGAGCATGCCACCCTGGGGAAATCCAGTCTGAAGAGGAGGCTGGTCAGTAACAAGTGCCCACATCCAACTCAGCAGACTGCTGAGGGCAGAGGAGAGGAGAGGAGAGGAAGGGCCTTGAAGATGAAGGAAGAGAAGTAGGGAGCAGAAGCGTACCTGCGGGGAGGCACCACGGACAGCGGCTGAGCCCCACAAGCCTTGCCGTTCACCAGGAAGCATGCAGGGGCCCAGTGCTTAGAGCTGAGGTGGGTATTGCCCATCCTGGGCTTGGATGCCTGCTGCATGCTGGGTGCTATGCGGGGGGGGGGGGGGACAGCCATCACCTTTCTTTCCTCCTCCCTTTCTCCTGACCCCCCTGCTCCTAATTCACCCCACCGCTCCAGTGGTCCTGGAGTGCAAGCAGATCCACAGGTTGTGGACTGTGGGGTGGGGCGGGGATGAAAATAGGCGGTGAGCACATAGCCACGTGCACGGGGCATTTGTGAGTGGTCGGGGCACCACCTGTTAGTCTTTCGGATAAGTACCCCAGCGTAGGAGTAAGGACCACAGCAGCCCCAGGTCTGTCGCTTAGGGTGTGATATTAACCACTCATGTTGCCTCTCTAGGACTCCCTTTCCCTAGGCAAAGCAGAGACGGTGACTTTAACGGTCATCCTAAGTTTGCCACGGTGGTGCTTTCATGAGAATGGGCTCTCCAATGACTCAGGGATGTCACCAGTGCAGCCTGTGGCCACAAAAACGCCCCTAAAAACAAGGGTCTTGCCGCGCACCGCGCCCCCGTGTCTGCGCTCTGTGCGCTGGCACCCAGTTTGCGAGCTTTGGGCAAGGGGGCTGGAGGTTAAAATACACAGACACACACAGACAGAGAGACAGCGACACGGGTCATCCTTGAATTCCCCAAGAATGCCTCCTTTATTGTGTTCAGGGGCAGATTATATAGAGATAGCCACGCCCCAGCCAAACCCACCAAAACTGCTCTCCTGCCATCAGGAACTCCTGAGGGTCTGGTGCTCAG